AAAATAGTTCGATAAATAACAACAATGATAAAAACAACAACAACAACATCAACAGCAACAACAACAACATCAACAGCAACGACGACAACAACAACAACAATATCTTAATTAATAACAAGTGAATACTGTAAAACTGATTAACGGATTATGATATATGTACATTGTATCACATATTAACATTTTTCTTTCCAGTAAATGAAAGTACGAATGGATGAATGAATGAATGAACGAACGAACGTACAAACAAACGAACGAACGAACGAATGAATAAATGAATGAATATATGAATGTATGAATGAATTAATGAATTAATAAAAAGTTATTAGCTAAATGAATGATAAAAATGGAATACTATTTTTACATTATTTATTCTAAGAAACTACTTGTCTATTGCTAGTTCTCTCTCTCTCACTTTCTCTTTCTTTCTTTCTTTCTCTTTTTTCTTTTTCAGTTTCTCTTTCACTTTTTTTTTCTCTTTTATACTTTTTTTAACTTTTTTTTTCATCAGCTTCATCTTTAACTTTCTCTGTAACTTTCTCTGTCACTTTCTTATTCTCTCTCTCTCTTTCTCTTTTTTTTCTCTTTCTATCTTATTCTTTTTTCTCTCTCTCTTTCTTTTTCTCTCTCTCTTTTTTTCTCCTGATTACGTATTAGATGCATTAATGTCCCTAAAATCTGGAGCCAAATGACGAGAAGGTTTTTTAATTAGCCGTGCCACTTCTTCTACTACAATCGTTACAGCAACAATAATAATTATCATATTTTTAATAATTATAATTCTTATTATTGCTGTTATTGTTGTATTAAATAATAATAATAATAATAAATAATAATAATAATATTAAGAAGAAGAAGAAGAATAGTAATCATAAGTATAATAAAAATAACATTAAAAAATCTACAAATAAAATGATATCAGCAATAATAATACTAATAAAAATAACAAAAATAATAATAAAACAAAAATAATAATGAAATAATAATAAAACAAAAATAATAATAAAACAAAAATAATAATGAAATAATAATAAAACAAAAATAATAATAATAATAATAACATTGCAGATAAAGGATGATGGCTCAATAGTGTGTACTGAAAATATCGGTTCGCCATATGGTGAGTGGTATGATGATGAGGGTGATGACGA